TATATATATATATATATATATATATATATATATATATATATCAATGGATTCTGTCAACCCAAGGGCTAACAATTATATTGTTAGCCAATGGCCCAGATTCAATCTGAGCCTATTTGATGGTCACTACGTTATTTCGTATTTGAATGTTTTTTTTTTTTTACAAGTCGAAATTACTTAAAATTTTAAACGTACATTCTACTCAGCAAGTCACACCTAATAAAAATATAAAAAAAAACATTCGTAAAATATAAATTGACCAAAATACCCGTAAAAAGTTTCAAGGGTATCTTAGTCAATTTATATTTTTCAAATTAATGTTTTATAGTTTTATTAGATTATAATATGTTGAAAGAATAAAAGCTCAAAATTTCAAGTGATTTGAATTTGTATAAAAAAAATGAAAATTCAAATATGAAATGAGGTATTGACTATTGGATTTGGCCCAAATTGAATCTGTGCCGTTGGCTGACACTGTAGCTGTCAGCTCGTCAGCTGATATGATCATTTCCTTTATATCGATACATCTCAATGTCGAGAATATCAATTAAAGGGTTTTTCAATACTAAAACAACTTTTTCCTATGGATTTTTGAAATACATTTTTAATTTTACATATTTAGATTGCAACCTTATATAAAATTTTTCCTTTAATAAATGGTAGTTTAGGTGTGTTTTGAAAAAAATCTGAAATATTAAATAGTTAGTACTTTAGGTGCAGCTTGATAAATTGTCTATTTTATATAAAAAAGTTGTTTTGCCTCAATTGCCACCTCATGCAGATGCAGATGGCTTATCAATGCGTGCAAATAGAGATAGCAATGGGTTGAATGGCTTGGCCAACTTGGAAAAACCAATGCCAAGGCTACAACATTTAGCTTAAGGCCTAAGCCTGAGCTTGGCCAACGCAGCCTAAGGCTTGGTGTGGGCCTGCCTAGCCCTTTATGTCAATTTCAAGATTTTTTAAGTTTTTATAAATCTGTTCAATCTACACTATTTTTGAAGCTTTAAATTTTATAATTAAAGATGAAAAAATATTCTAAAGCTATCACGAAGATTATCAATATTGAAACCACATGTCTTGACCCTATTTGAAGGTGGATTTTACTTTGATTGTTTAGAATCTTGGCTCTACACAAACCGCATTTATTTTAGAATGCAAAAGTTTGAAGCCATCAAAAATATTGAAAGAAATAAATGAAATGGCATTCCATGAGCCTAAAAGAAAGGGAAAATTATAAACACCTATCTAGACCCTACCTTTTAGACATATGCTTTCCCTAACACTTTTTGGACCACATCACTAACTTTGACATTATTTATTTTTACACCTATACTAGAACGATTATTTTTTAGGATTAAAATACCCCCCTTTTCAATCCACATTTCTCTCCCATTTTATCATGCTCCCACTTGGGCAAATCTGACACAAAATGTGTCGAACCAACTCCACTTTTTCACTTGAAGCTAGTGTCGCAAAAAATGTGGCAAATCGGCTTCTAGCCTCCAATATATATTAGCCTGGCATAAAATATGCTGAACGGGCTTCTGGGCCCCAAAATGTTCGGGTCCAACGCATTATTGGGCTGACTTCGGAGCCCAAAATGTGCTGGTCGGGCACATTGCTGGACCAGCCTAGAGAGATAAAATGCGAGCATGACAAGAAGGGAGAGAAATGTAAATTGAGAAGGGGGCAGGGGGGTATTTTCATCCAAAAAGAATAACTTGGGGCATAGGTGTAAGAATAAACAAGGGAGTATACGTAAGTTTCTCTAGAAGAAATAATGTCCATAGATTAAACAGAGATTCTCCAATTTTCAAAAAATGAGATTTAAATATTTGGAAAAGCTCAATTTATTTTGTTTTAGTTTCTAAAATAGTCATATGAGGTTCTCAAATGGATCACCAAATTTCACATCTAAA